TCTTTTAAGAAGGCGGTTAAAACTATGTTATTGTCTAAGTATTAATCCTGTCGTGTATAATTTTACTGTATTGATGTTCGTGTGTACAGTGACTGTACATTCAACACTGATGTGTAATCGTCCATGACCTGCATCGTGTATCCATCCATGAATGAACCTGCATTCAATCAGCAGTCTAACGTTAAAGTTAATTTGTAATTAAAATGTAGAGTACAGCCCTTGGCCTTAGGCCTAATGTAGGTTGTAACTGTTACTGTTTGAAAATCTAAAGTAAAATTAGACGATTTTCATGGTTAGACCAAGTCACTGAGACCAGGTCAATCAATCTTCTAGATCCATTATTAGGGTCTAACGTTAGTAGAAAGAAGGAAAAGAGGGGAAAGGGAAAGAGGAGAGAAAGGGAAAGAAATAAGAGGAAGAAGAAAAGAAAAGGGGGAAGAAGGAGATGGGGGGGGGGGGGGTGCGAAAGGGCCTTGCCTCCCAGGCTATTGCCTCCCCCGCCCCCGCTAAAAAAAGAGAGAGAAGGAAGGAAAAGGAAAAAGGAGAGCTAAAAGGGACCAAAAAAGATGAAGAAGAAAAACAAGGGTCAAAAGAATTTCGATGCGGTGTTCGAGTAGAATTCTGTGAGATCATGATATACTTTCTCGTAGCTTGATGTGACGAAGTGTCTCTATCCAGATATCTGTTGATAGTATTATAGAATATAGAAGCCTGAAATGACCTTCTGCTCATAACCGACAAGTCACCGCATTAAAATTAAAATGCAAATAGTGTTCAACAACACGATGGTTGATGAAAATTTCTAATATTCGAAGATATATGACCTTCAGACCATATTGTTCCATTTTTTTTTATTCAATCAATCAACGTCAAAGAATTGATTTATCATCGCTCTTCAATTTATTATTTCACCTTTTAATGTACTTTCATTCTTATGCATCACAAAAGAACACTGAATTGGATTCTTCAATGTTTGTTTTGATTAATTTCCTCCCCTTTCCTTCCCCCTGTTTCATACTGATAAAATTTTCAATTTTTCTTAATCAAGGCAAAATATAATTTTCATATTTTCTTTATGCAAGACAGGGAGAGAGAGAGAGAGAGAGAGAGAGAATATGTTAAGTGAGAATTATCGAGTACAACTATGAATTGCATCCTTTTCAATATTATTATATTCGCTGAAAATGTTTAAAATATGAATATGATAAATCCACATAATACACCAACGCTGTTCAACGCATCCAACGCTCCAATCATAGCCCATATGCCAATGCACCATATTTATCAAATATGAAAGGATTTTTAAATGAAATTTGAAGAAAAATCAGATTTACAATGCACTGACAGGCATCAGTTGAAATCATGAATTCTCTGTGACTGGCTTAGCACTAGTTTCTGAGGGACTAGTCACTGAAGAGGAGATAACGGAAAGGAAAGTTGAAAAAGAAGTAAATAAAAGAAGGGGAATATCAGTTGCCCGCCAACAAGTTGCGGATCGGAATGGGGGTGGGGCAAAAGGCCTTTGCCCCCCCCCCCGCCCCCGCTAAACAAAAGAGAAAAGGGAGGAAAAGGAAAAAAGGAGAGCTAAAAGGGACCAAAAAAGAGGAAGAAGAAAAAAAGGGCGAAAAGAAGGGGAGATAGATCAGTTGCAGTTAATCCCGCCAGCAACGTGTGGAGAAGGGTGGGGGCCGAAAGGACCTTGCCTCCCCCCCCCCCAGCAAACCTAAAAGAGAGAGAAGGAAGGGAAGGGAAAGGGAAAGAAAAAAATAAAAATAAAAAAGGTAGGGGAGATCAGTTGCCAACAAAGTGTAAATCAGGGGGGGGGCACTTGCGTACTGATTGGGAAGGGGGCTCGGGGGAAATAAAATTCAAACGTGGTTTATTTCTAATTCCATGACGGTGGTTTACACATAATGCTGAAATGACATAATTTTCCGAGATTTTTTAGTAAATTATACTTTTTTATGCGTTTGTTGTAAAATGACAAATTCCTAAATTTACAGCCAGGCAAGAAATATGCTTCTTAAGATGCCTAAGGGCCTACACATCAGAGCCCGCGGAACGGCGGGGATCGGGAGCCTCGAGGTCCCTCCCCCCTCCACTTTTTTTAAAAAATAGTATATAAAGAGAAATGGAAAGAAAGAGAGCAAGAAAGAAAAAATAGTTAACTTCCAGTGACACAACAAAATAAGGTATTAACCGTAATTAAAAGCCTAAAACCCCTGAGCTTCCGGGGCTCTGGCCCTGGACCCAACCGAGGGCCCTAAGGCGGGCCCCTTGATATTGGGCTCGCATAATTTCAAATTTGGGCCCCCCTAAGAAATCCTGGATCCGCACCTGCCCGTGATGACATTCTCTCCATTTCTTCCCGTTTTGCACTTAATGTCCTCCTCATTATTCGGAGCAACCTTGTTTACATTCTTTCTTTACTTTTAGTCCTTCCAAAACACAGGGGCGGATCTAGCTTTTTGCTAAGGGGGAAGGGGGGGGGGGGGGGTAAACCAAATACGATGTGGAGCATCGTCCATGAGCCGCATAGCGGCGAGGCGATTTTTGTTGTTGCTATTTTGAACCCTCGTATTAAAGTGATGTTTTCCTGGCATCTACTAACATGCGGAGCATCGTCCACGAGCCGCGAGGCGATTTTTTTGTGCTATTTTGAGCCCTCGTTAGTGATGTTTTCCTGGCATCTACTGACATCTACTACTACTGTGTAGGTCTGGACACATCACATTTTCACTTGGCAGCCCAAGGGGGATCGGGGGGTTAAACCCCCTAAACCGCCTAGATCCGCCCCTACAACATCTTTGCTGATCTTCTTCTCAATATTGATTTATTGGTCGAGTTACATTATTTGCTGGTCTTTTAGAACAACCAGATTTCAGAGGATTCACACTTTTCACAACGAAAAACTTCTCCATGTTTCAGTCCTTGCGCGATCGTCTCCAGCTCCAGCAGATATTGGGCGTCAGCGTGCACACCGGTACTACCGGCGCACAGTGGGCCAGAACCGCCTCAAAGTGTGCCAAAATTAATTTCTCACTGAAGAAGGTTAATGAAGTTCCTGGTTTAAGTATCCAAGGGGTTTTCAGACCCATAGAATTCGATGGGAGTATTTTCAAATCCGTGTGACGTCATCAAAATACTGTTTTCTGATTGGACAAGGCAATTATGCATTGTAACGCATAGACAGATTCATATTACACTGATTAGGGGAACTTATAAGGGGTTTCTGGACCTAAAAAACACAATTGGAGCATTTTCAAATTTCTCTGACGTCATTAAAATACTGTTTTCTGATTGGACAAGGCAAATATTCATTGTAACGCATAGACAGATTCATATTACACTGATTAGTGGAACTTATAAGGGGTTTCTGGACCTAAGAAACACAATTGGAGCATTTTCAAATTTCTCTGACGTCATTAAAATACTGTTTTCTGATTGGACAAGGCAAATATTCATTGTAACGCATAGACAGATTCATATTACACTGATTAGTGGAACTTATAAGGGGTTTCTGGACCTAAGAAACACAATTGGAGCATTTTCAAATTTCTCTGACGTCATTAAAATACTGTTTTCTGATTGGACAAGGCAAATATTCATTGTAACGCATAGACAGATTCATATTACACTGATTAGTGGAACTTATAAGGGGTTACTGGACCTAAGAAACACTATTGGAGCATTTTCAAATTTCTCTCACGTCATTAAAATACAGTTTTCTGTTTGGAAAAGGCCAACATGCATTGTAACACATAGACAGATTCATATGACACTGACTAGGGAAACTTTTCAGGGGTTTCTGGACCTAAGACGCACAATTGGAGCATTTTTAAATTTCTCTCTATAAAATTGTCCGGCATCAACTATTTTTAGTCCACTATTTTCGTATTTACAAACTACTTGTTTTCTGTTTATTGTATCGGGTTTCCCTTTCCATATGAATTTAAAGAATGAGACATCGATTGATTTCAGAAGATGTTCAAAGGGATTTGGAATATAATCAAATAAATGATTATGATTTAAAAATATGAAATACCCTTGAACGTTTTATAACGTTTTTGCCATATCTCTATGTATGGGTCCTTTTGCTTCTCATTACGAGTCACTGTCTGGAGAATCATTGTCTTGAATGACCCGAAAGTCTTTCAGCATCTCTTGGACTTCACGTGGCAGGGTTCTTGGCCGTGGAGTTTTAAGTGATAAAAGACTGATGGCAACATCGCCTGTAACCATAAGACGGTGGAACACGTCACTCATATTGTCTACTCTTGATGTCTTTCTTGCAAATTTCCTTCTGTATACCTTGTTGTCCTTGTTTCTGGCTTCTTGAGCTTCTTCGCTCATCATCCCGATCGGTAGAACTGAACAAGCAAGAATGGTAGAGCCATGAAGCAGCAGTACATGCACACTCACAGGCATTTTATACCATGGGTAGAGTTGTACATAAATTTCTGCTGTTCTGCGACAATAGTCTCCAAATCGTTCTGGATTTAGGGAGGATTTGCAAGAAATTGCTACTAAGATCATGTGAATCCTATGTACTAAGTTCAATTCTAACCCGCAAATGTCAGCAAAGGTGTCCTCCTCTTGGAATGCTCTGCGTGCAGTGTTCCCATCGTTTGTATTTCCCGATCCTTGTTTCGGTTCATCTACTTTAAGACCCATTTCCTCTTTGAAGCGATCGTGTATTTTCTTCTTCTGAGCAGCGACGACAGCTTTGTCATTTTCAGTTGAAACACGCCACTTTTTAATCGTAATTATGTAAGCAATGTGAATACACATCTCAAAACATCTGATCCATTTATGTAGAGGTGAGAGTCCATAGCTATAAGCTTCCTCATTTGACGCGGAGGGAAGTTTCTCTATGTCATTGAACTGTTTGGGAGTAGCCCCACAGACATAGCATCGCATAGATGACTTGGTTTCTGTCAGAGCATTCACGACTTTCTGATCTACCATCATGGTGAAGTGCAATTCATAGTTAATCTGTATATTGTCGTTCCTATTTAGATCTGCTGCCAGCTCATAATGTCCAAAGATACATTCATAGGTTGCAATTTCTTGATTTCATCTTGAACAGATCTATACTCTTCCTGAGAGAGTTCAGTTGTTTCTTTCTTGAATTGAAGATGAATGGGTCGGCAAAATCTTGACGAAGAAGGAACCGGATTTTGCCACAAAATACTGTCTTTTACCTTCAATTGCAGCGGAACTAGAGTAGTGCAGAATATGCTGCTGTCATCCAAAGTACCTGCAGTAGAAAAATAAAATTATTATGTCAGAAATGCATAATTGTGTACAGCAAACATGAATTCAAAATTACTTTAAAATATCATCAGAATGAAACTTAAAATGTTATACTCATACATCATGTACGTCCAAATGTATCTATATACGTCCAAATGTATCTATATTATCCCAACATTTGGAGGCTTTGATTATTTATTTTATCAAAACATAAAATATAATTGCTCATAAGAAATATATATAATTATCAGGAAATAAATATTAATGGAAACCTAAGCTTGTTTAATTGTTGGAGCATTAAAACCATGTGTTTTTATTTTACTTAAGATATGTCCTTTTTTTTTATTTGTTTCATGAATCAGCTTTAATGATGATGTTGGTCTCTCTGATAAAAAAAGAATAAACGCATTTAGGTCTGTAGGGTGGAAAGGAGAAAACACGTACCTGCAGTAGACTTCTGTTTGTATTCACTGTGGCCTGATGAGCCGTCAAAGCCCCATTTGCACACCAATTCACAATTGAACTGTTCTTCTTCTTCTAAATTTTCAATGACTTGCGTGATAGTGTCCTTCTGCTCCTGAATTATCCGAAGTGCAGTGTGGTCTAAGAGGCTTTGTATGGGTACTTTCCCAGAGTCTTCCGTGACTGAGATGTCATTGGGATAACATTTTTCCTTAGCTTCCCTAATCTCGTTATACGGTGGATAAATATCAGCATTTTTACCTTTTGCAGCAAGTCTGGTTGTTTGGTATGCCTGTTTTGTCATTCCTGTTTCAACTAAAAGTGACAAAGCTTCTTCACTTGAGAATTTTAATGGTTCTTTCTTTTTTTCTGATATCAGTTTTCTTATTTTAGCTGGTCTTGATGGTGTTAACATTGCGAATTTCAACACATATTTCAAACTTGAATTTTTCTTATACACGCCTTGAGATGCCGCATATAGAAGTTCCTCTGGTTCCCTGTCTTCTAGAAGGTGGTGTGCTTTTCTTTTTTTAGAACGATCTGAGAGAGTGTCCCAATTCTTAGCTGGACGTCCCACATTGGATGCGCCCTGTGACGTGCCTGGCAAGTCTGAAGTTGGCTCTGTTTCTGTCCCGGTATCTGTGCTGTTTTGCTGTGCAAGAAATGTTTCTACTTCAGTATTGAATGTCAATGTCTGATTAAGCCAGTCCTCGTTTCCTTTCATGAAATATTCCTGGCGACGACCACACTTGTTCCATTTCTCTCGCACACGATACAGAAAGCGTCCAATAGTCTTTGACAAACTCTTGAGAAGTTTTTGTGGGATGTTTGACCTGTTACCCACATTATGATATGCACATAATGCATCAATGGATGTTTTGGATGCCAGTTTGATGTCTGAAATAAAGCCAGCTGAATGCACAGCATGAAAAAGCTGTCTTCTTAATACCGCCATCGTTTATTTCAATCCAAGTTCTCCTAGAATGATATCATATATGATTGCGAATTGCATCAACGTGTGAAAGCAATATACACTACGCTACACGCTCTACACTCACGTAACCGTTGCCATGGTTACGCGGACGAGCGTTGAATCGGCTGTGCGTAGACAGTACCAAATTAAAAATGTACCGATTATGCCTAATAATAATCGATGGACGTGGGGGGAAAAAGCGCCTGCACATGCAGAGTCGCAAATTATGGCAAAAAGAAATACCATACATGGAAAGCTTAGGTTTGGGCGGACATTTTGAGATTAACATCACTGCGGGAATCGGCCGGAATCCTAATTAATATGCTACTTTTATATAAAAATTGCATTTTTCCCCTTTTTTTGGTGAAATTAAATGCTCATTTTTCCCAAAATGAAGCTTCCATAAATTTGGTCATTGTATTTTCTAATTGGGTTACCAATAGGCAAGAAGTGCACGCAGTATCAAGTTGATTGCTTTTCCCTTCATACATTCTCAACACCTAGTGTAAAGTTACCTTTTTTATCATTTTTGGAGCAACATATAGATTTTCCCATGTTCGCAGGGGTATATGACACTTTTAAAACTCGCTAAATATTAAAATATGGGTGGAAAATTATTCTTTAGAATGTTTTCTTCCCAAAACGAATGAAAAAAATATAAAAATTCACATTCGCCAATTTTGAATTTTGGCACACTTTGAGGCGATTCTGGCCCACTGTGCGGCGCAGTATGACGGCCGCATTAGCTGTGCACTGCGAGCTTCCGTCGTTTGTATCGGTAATACTCATAGAGATTGGATAGAAAGCGCCATCTAAGTTCCATTTCATTGGTTTAAGGTTTGAAAATTGATATGATATATATATATTGTGTTAAAGTTATATAGGAAAAGATAATCGTTATTTTATATTTCCACGGGGGCGATTTTTAATTTTGCAATCGCCACCGTGGGCAACCTGACGGGGGCGATTATGGAGCTCACGGGGGCGAATCGCCCATCGCCCCCGTGTATCTTGAGCGCTGGTTCTACTGACCGCAATAAAATGCCCCTTTAAATGAAACCATATAATATATAAACACATAGACAATTTTGAGCAAATCGCATTTGAACAATTGTCACTATACGAATTCCGCTGAGTTTCCACCCAGTTATAACACGTATAGGCTATGACGTATTTTTTTCAGACTGCTTTTCGCCCCCCTACCGTCCTTTTTACCACGAAAATTTGCAAGCGTATGGCCAAACGCAGGGCACCCCGAAGCCGGATTTTTAGACGACATTTTATACTCTGCATGATCATGTTAGTATGGATGGCCGTTTGTGCCACAGCATACCACAGCAGGTACCGGAGTGTTGGCTCAGTCAGTAGAGCGTCCGCCTCACAACCGGGAGGTCGTGGGTTCGAACCCCGGCCGCGTCATACCAAAAGACGTTAAAAGATGGGAGTTGTTGCTACCTTGTTTGGCGTTCAACAATAAGGGGATAGAGCAACGTCGATCTGGCGCTGCTCAGTGGCTGCCGGGCTCACGATCAATTGGGCAAAAAGAATTTCCGTTTCGGTTTAATAAAATTTGGAGTGGACTATCAGGCTATTATTATATTATTATTATTATATACGTCATCACGTGTTCTTCACATTTACCCATATAGCTCCGATTAGTGTCATTGGACAACGCCCCCTATCGTCAGAGTCCAGCAGCCTAACATGTTAGCCTATGGACTTTTACCCCCGAAATCGTTAACAATTCATTTTTTGTTTAAACGAAAAGCACACCCACCCTTACGTACGTTAACACTATAGCTCTTTCATTTGAATCCTCATGTCCCATTGACTTTTGAAAGTTCACCCACCGTAATTTGATAAAAATAGGTCGCCAGCTCGCCATTGCCTATATAACACATGTGCAACGAGTCGAACTATGGACGCAATTTGCCACGCGATTCTAAGGTCATAGGTCAAGCACACGAAGGATAACAAGCATGAATCATCAGTTCTGATTGGTTCATTGTGTCCATTTCAGCCAACCTCCACCGGTATTTTTCCATTTAGTATTGGCAAATATTTAGCCTAGGTAAGCAAAAACATTTATATTCATGACACACCATGGACTATTCGATTATTTACAGAGGGGTGCAATTGTGCACCACATCAAACTCCCCTACTTTCAGTCAAGTATTTCATTTTATTATGTAGTACCGGGGCCCGCCCCCCCCCTGAGGAAAAAGAGAAGGAAAAAAAGGAAGAAAAAAAAAAGGAAAAAAAAAGAAGGAAAAAAAAGGGGAAAGATTTTTGTTGTTGAAAAAAAGTGTTCTTCCCCCCGAGCCACTAAACGAAATATCTGACGACGTAATTTTTCCAATTTCCGGGGCCAAAAAAAAAAAAATGTGGAGAGAAAGGGGAAGAAAAAAGAAAGAAAGAAGAAAGGTAGGGGAGATCACTTGCGATTTTTCCGCCAAAAAAGTGTAGATCGGGGGGGGGGGCACTGGCGTCTTGATCGGGGAGGGGATATATTTCTGATTCCATAACCGTTACAGTAGTTTACACATAATGCTCATCTGACCGTAATTAAACGTCTAAAACCCCTGAGCTTCAGGGGCTCTGCCCCCTGGACTCACCCAACGACCCTAAGGCGGGCCCCCTGATACATCTGACCGCAATTTAGTGCCTAAAACGCTTGAGCTTCCGCTGGACCCCACGCCAATCAGTGTCCAGCCAGTGTCACAAATAAGGTATGAAAATATGTTCATCTGACCGTAATCAAATGCCTAAAACCCCTGAGCTTCCGGGGGATCTGCCTCTGGATCCCGCCTAGGGCCCTAAGGTGGACCCCAGGATTGTAATATGACGCTAATTTAATGCCTAAAACCCCTGAGCTTCTGGGGGCTCCGCCAATCAGTGTCCTGCCAGCGTCACAAAAAGGTATAAATATATGTTCGTCTGACCGTAATTAAATGTCTAAAACCCCTGAGATTCCGGGGTTTCCGCACCCTCGACCCCACCAGGGCCCCTAAGGCGGGCCCCTGAATGCTTGTCCGACCGTAATTTATTGCCTTAATCCCCTGAGTTTCCGGGAGCGGACAAGGTATCAAAATATGTTCATCTGACCGCAGACGCGTAGTCATGGGGGCGGTGGGGGCGCCCCCCCCAAAAAAAACACCGGCCAAAAAAAAAGAGAAGAGAGAAAAAGAAGAGGACGTAGGAAGAAAAAGGAGCAGATAATTTTTTTGTTGAAATTCAGACAAGGATTAAGAGTCGAGAACGGTACAACGAATCGTCTTCTTTCTTCAATAATTTTAATGAAACGTCAAAGCTTCGGCGCTTTGCGGAGGAGGGTGGGGGGAAATCGCCCCTTCCTGCACCCCCACTACGTTAATGCAGGTCACCATTACGTACCGATATTTGGCTCGCATAATTTCAAATTTGGGCCCCCCTAAGAAATCCTGGATTCGCGACTGGTGTAGAGCCTCTTAAGCGTTGGGAATCCCAAAAGTTTGATGGTAAAATTTGACTCAAATTGTATCATTATGTAAAAGAGGATCTAATATACAATTAGATCCTCTTTCACATTATGATACAATAAATATTTGAGTCAAATTTTACCATAAAACTTTTGGGGTTCCTTAATATTCGACTTTAAACGCATTTGTTTTGAAAACCCTCGCAGAATTCTGCAAGGGTTTTCAAAACAAATGCGTTTAAAGTCGAATATTGATGAAAGAATACAAAATTTAGATTTTTCTGCGTACAACAGAAAACCCAAATTATTGTTCTGCTTCTAATGATGCTAACTTAATATCAGGGTGGACTTCCCCTCTCTGTATTCAATAATGAGCAGAAAAGTGTAATTTATTCCTTTTTCCATTATACCATTTTCCTTGAACATGTTTCAGCAACAATTTGTTTATATTCTCTCAGCAAAATAAACCAACATTTCAAATATATACAGGGCGTCTATAGTTGCCTGCCCCAGATATCGATTTGCACAATCATGGATTGTATGTACTAATTCCAATCATGTTTTCACTCCGATTGATTGATTATACTCCTTAGCATATAAAAACAAGCTACAATAAACACACCGTTTGGAATAATAAAATTTTAAACAGTTTACGTTGGGTTCTTGATTATGTGCACGACAATCAAACCTTTCTGATTATCATAATATTTAAAACACTATATGGAATTGAATCGTAAACAGGTAACCTAAGTTTCTTGATGATGTGCATAACGATAACAACTTTATGATTATAATAATACTAAAAACACCTTTGTTTTACAATCTTTTTAGGTGCTCTTCAAAAAAAAAGTATTAGAGATAAATGAGGTAAAAGTAATTATAGTTGTACAGGTTAATGCACAGAGAAATTCAAGTCCATTGAATTGAAAGAGTGTATAAGCAGGCTAAGGTAATGAGAGAATTATGTAAAGCATATTTTCTAGGTACTCTAAAATGCAAAGACTCTCCGGAGTCATACATTTTGCACTATAGAAATTTTAGTTATTTTGTGAGAAATTGTTGGACACCAGTGGTGGATCCAGGGGGGGGGGGGGGGGGGGGGCCTGAGCGAATTATCAGCCGGCACGATTTGCAAATTTTCGGGAGCAAAAAAATAAATAAATTAGTTCTCACTACCCCCACCCCCACCCCCTCCCCCAATATGCGAATTATCGGCCGGCTGTTTCGCCGCTAAATATTTTCTCACGAATTGGGCCCCCTCCCCCAGGTGCGGATCTACGGGGGGGGGGGTTTAGGGGGTTCAAACCCCCCCTTGGGCGGCCCCCCCCCCAAAAAAAAAAAAAAAAAAAAAAAGAAAGAAAGAAAAAAAGAAGGAAAAAAGAACGCACGCTGGAGAGAAACCCTTTCAAGTGCAAATATTGTGAGAAGATATTCAACTCATCTGGTAACTTAACCAAACACATGATAAAAAGGCTGGATATAACTGTGTATTAACCTGTTACTTGATTTAAAAAGACGTTATCATGCACTGCTTTTTATGGTCTCCATTGTGTTAATAGATGCCAGGAAAACATCACTTACGGGGTTCAAATAAACACCCCAAAAAAAATCGGCTCGCCGCTACGCGGCTCGTGGACGATGCTCTGCATCGTCATTATTTTGGTCAACCCCCCCTTAGCAAAAAGCTAGATCCGCCCCTGTCCCCTGCCGCCGGCTGGATCCGCTTCTGGTTTTGGAAGTGACGTCGAACTAGCTATTTGTGCTGGCAGTGCTCCAGCGAGCGAAAATGAGACAACCGGAACAATATGCACAATCCCATTCGCTGCGCTTGTGAACGCTTTCTATAGTTCCCTTCCTCTATCCCAATTTTTTTCTAGCATCCCATCAAGGTCAG